TATACTGTGGATATGTCCATTGGTTTTTGTAGCTGTGAAAGTGGAAAAGATGGCAGTCCATGCAAACATCAGTATGTTCTTTGGTCAGCAAATATTGCACATTGCTTAAACTTTGTTCCAGTTGACCAACCAGACATCAGAAAGAAATTGGCATGGATTGCTATTGGTAACTCTTTAGATATTTCCTATTACAAGAATCTGCGCAATCAAGATAACAAGGATGATAATGAAAATGCAACTATACCTGTAAGTAGTCAAGTTGAGAATCCCAGCATTCGAAATGAATGTGCTGAGGAACTATGTGAGGAAAGCCTACCGGTTGATGATCGTGATGACCCTTCTGATACTGACTATTCTGAATTGTGTGAATCTGCTGTACAGTCACTGAGACTAGCTTTTGAAAAAGTTACTGAAAAGCTTGAAAGCACCAATGATCCAAACTTGGCTAGAGGAATTTTGGCATTTTCTAAGAGAGCACAAAGTCTTGCATTGGCTAATTATATGCATGCTAATCTTAGTACAGCATTTTTTAATTTTGGAGCAAGCGATTTAAGAAAAAAAGGAAAGGGGAAAAAAATTAAAGTTCAGCCTAACAGGAAGCGAAAGTCAGAAAATGGAAGTCGCCAAGCAGTTTCCAAAGGTAGACCAACTCAAATAAAAACATTACCCTTGCCATCCAAGAGGCCAAAGCGTTCACATTCATTGGCTGAAGCTATAGAGTCCAATACTCAAAGTAGTAAGAAATCTGGGAGTCATGTGATGAAGTCAAAAAGCAAGCTTAGGCAGAAAAGAASTTCAACACAGAAAAAAAGTGAAAAATAAGTCTAGTTTACCATCATGTACTTTTATGTTAATTTTGCTTTCTCATACAAATACTCTGCTATATCAACAAAGCTCTCAAGTGGAGAGAAATAAGGAAAGCATTGGGAAAGGGAAGGGGGATCCAATTGATTCTTGAAAATGCTGTGAGTGGAGTGGAGACTGAGAACAAGCTAAACGCAAACATTAAGCTTTTCAGTCCTCCTCTGCCATATCCCCAGTTTCCCTCTTCCCTTTGCTTTTTGAAATTATCAATAAAGGATTTAGGAGGCTAGTGAATAAATGACATTTTGTGCTTATTTTTATGCTATTCTTATCACTTTAAAAAGGCATTTGTTAAAACATTGATTTTAATTGATTTTAAATTTGAGTCAGTCTAATATAACCTTTTATCTAAATAGAAATAAAAAAAAAACATCTGTCAAAAAAGTATTGAGAACTTTCAAATAATAACCAGTAAAAAATGGTTCTTTCTTTTTTCTGTTAAAACAGGTGCTTAAAAAGCAAATTTTGACCTAGTGGTTCTTAATCCACTGGCTGTCATGTGCGGGTGTTTACTGTAATTGTATATTTTAATCTCACATACTAAACACTTTCAAAACACCTGTTAATGTACAAGTATGCATCTCATTTAAATAGCATTGTTGGGTTCCAAAAAGGTCATCATCAATAGCTATTATTATTACAGTTATATATGCAAATGATTTCAAACAATTTTTTCAAATTAAGGTTCAGATTAGTGCTTTCTGGTGAAGTGGTTGTTTTGCCACAAAAGCCTCAACTTCATGATCAAGCCATTGCTCAAAACCTTTTGCATACTGTGTGTTATATGCTTAGAACTACACGTCTATATGGAAATATAGTCTAAATCAAGGAGCACCCAAAATCCCTTTCAGTTGTAGCTTCACTGATGTGACATATTATCTAAACTAAGATTATAAGACAAACATTAAACATTAATTTGGTATCGACAGAAAGGTCACATTACAATTAACATCTCAATTATAAAAGAAATAAATCAATGTCTAGTTCTTGTTGCTGTGGATAGATTGGTGCCTTTTCAAGTTCCTTTTTTCTGCAAATGTTTTATTGCAAACTGTGCAGTTAAATGTTCCTAAGTGCTCCTTTTTCTGGTGCCTGTCTAACTTGGCAGTATGTTTGAAGGTTAGTCCACAAACATCACAAGCACATTCCTTGCAGCCTTTGATGTGATATTTGCAGTCTTTTGCCCTGTTAAACACCTTATCACAAATGGGGCATGTATTTTCTTGAAGAGGTATACCAGTATCCAGGTTCTCTCTGATTGTTTGTGCTTTTTTGCTCCAGTCCTAATAAAGAGTTTGAATGTAAGCTACTGGTGTATAAATTGGTTACAATATTTTAATATATGTGTGTCATACGTGATGTTTGATTACAGGGAAATCGAAAATAATGCACAATAAAACAGTTATTTCATGACATGAAGTTTCATAATTTAGTACATAGTTCATTCCCAAACATTTTTGATTATATACAAATATAAACAATGATCCGATTTCTAAATTTTGATAAATAATCAAGAATTTATATTAATGAGATAAGAGCAAATTTTTTTTTAACACAGGTCTTGTTATTTTAAATATTAATAATTAATTTTAAACTAATTTTAACTAATAATATTTAAATATTTAGCGTAAATTTCTTACCATTCTCCTGTCCTTTGGCAGACTTTTCCACATGCGGCCTGCCACACTTGACGCCTGTCCAATACTTGAGGTGTTCGAATCAGGTCCAAGTTCTTCTAGAACGTCTTTCTGTAGATAGTTTATACAAAAATCAAACAGGCTGTGACATGCTTCTTCGAATAAATAAAAGGAGCTACAAACATTTGCGCATCTTTAACTTACAAGCTTATCAAATGCGTCATTGAGTTTAACAAGCTAATACATATTCGGTTGAATGACACCTTTGTTTACTAACTACAAAAGCACCAATATAATTCTTTTACTTACAGCAACTGTTTGAAAAAATGTATTCCACCCAGATGGCTTCTTAATTGACTTCTTTTGAGTGGAATTTTCGGTTGAAGATTCGGTTAAATTCATTTCGTCCGCCATGTTGATGAATTTTCCCGCCAAACTATCCACAGGAAACCCGTCAGCAAAACCGTACAAACAAGCGAACTTTCGCGTTGAAGCGTGATTCAACGAGAAGGTTTAATGGCAACGACCGTTCTCGATGGCATCGACCGTTCCGAATAAAGGCAACGACCGTTTCAAATGGCAACGACCGTTTACGAAACGGAAAATTGCTGAGGCGATACCAGGTTGCCGTGCATGTCGATGCGTAATTATGGCCATAAATAGGGCTGACATTGATTGCTCTCAGACCTTTGTTTATGAATTTCCCAAAAATTTTATTTGATAAAACAAAAATATAGGAGCATTTCTTCCCACGTGTGGCAATAGTTTTGAGCTCAGCCATATACCAGTGTAGATATACGCGATTGAATATGATGTTCGTAAAACCCTGTTAATTGGTACTGACTATTGAAAAATCAATAA